CTCCAACAGAAGAGAAGGTATATGAGAAATTTAAATGACTGGCCACCTTAAAAACTATTGGGAAAACTTTCTACCTCAGTTAAGTGTCTGACATAATATGTTCAAGAAAAAATGAGGTTTAGTTTTTAATACTGCTGGCATACTGGAGAGGACAAACTAAAAGAACAGAACTAAAAATATTGAAATGACTAGTTAGGTGTGTTTCTGATTCTGGCATTAACTGAATGGCAATACTACTATGAAGTGGCAGAGAATGTCATTAAACCATTAAGATACACGTTTAGTTTTAGCCCTACCTGCAGCCAAGTCATGTTTCCATATCACCACCATCTAGCGCAAGTATGTAATAGTTGTCTTCAACAATAAGGACGCTGACTTACACTTCTGACCATAGCTTCATAAAATCTTATTACCCACTTATCTATTGCAGTTTACTCTTACCTCTAAAGAAAAGTCCTCTAGAAGCTCTAAATATCTTAAGATGATAATGATTACTGTCCTGCAGTAATTTGTGTGAAAGTGAATACTACAAATCCTCATTTTGCAAGGGACTAAAAAATTTCACGTATAAAGCTGTACTATAGTATCAGGAATGATTTCAGTTTTTTTTAATTGAGGTATAATTGACATATAACATTAATTTCAGATCACCTACTTTTTAATTGAAGGAAAAAATATAAAATTCCTGCAAAATAATTTCACTGCTTTTTCAAAATTTTTTTGCATTTATTAAAAAATACTTTGCTTTACATGTTTATTCCAAATATTTATAGTATTAATATATTAATTGTTTTATGTCAAAACTGATAGTTGATCTTTTTAAGGTTATATACAAGTGACAACAGCAAAAATTCACTTAATATTTGTCAATTACTTTTTATACTGTAATATATATACATTTTGAGATAAAGTTGCTCAGAATTGCAAATAAAATTAACAAAACTATGTATTTCTCTTGATGTTTTAGTATCAATATTAGAAAACAAATGGTCAGGCAAAATTTTTCACTAATGGGGAACAGTAATTAATTCTTAATGAATTATGCTCATTTCTTAATTAATATTTCCCCAAATTATTACATAATCAATTTTCCCCCATCAATCCATTTTATAGCCAGCAATTCAAAGTCTGTGTCTAAAGTAACAAAGTAACTTAAAGAATATTCACTAGTGGACTAGTGAAAAAGTGAACCATATCAGCATATTGTAAGAATGGCAAGAGGACCACTCGAATTCCGTTTGGAGGCTTCTTTGAGCTCGAAGAGTAGACATCATGAGCAAAAGCACACCCTCCCGAGTTGAAGAAATTTATGGACAAGAAGTTATCACTGAAATTAAATGGTGGCAGACACGTCCAAGGAATACTGCAGGGATTTGATCCCTTTGTGAATCTTGTGACAGATGAATGTGTGGAGACAGCAACTAGTGGGCAACAGAACAATGCTGGAACGGTGGTAATACGAGGACATAGTATCATTATGTTAGAAGCCTTGGGACGAGTATGAACAGCGGCTGTGCTCACCAGAGACATCAACTGCTTCCATGTGTCCCCTTCTCCACATTTTACTACCAGAAAAACTGGGTTGTGTACATTTTCTTACTGAACTTTTTTGTTAAATAAACTTTTAATAGCCAAAAAAAAAAAAAAAAAAGAATGGCAAAGTAAACTTAAGACATAGAATTAACGGAAAGGAAATTATCTCTTTAATTAATAAAGTTATTAATAAGAATTAATAATCAGTACTATGTGGAAGGAAAAGTTCCAATGTAGAAACTGCAGATGGTTCCAGAACTGGATAAATCTCTACTGAAGAGCCTCTAACAAAGCTGATCCAAAATTCATTTTAGATATAAAGAAATAATGAAGGACAATTAGAAAAGGACAGTTTACAAAAATATATTCCTGGGGATAGGGGCTACAGCTATTTAATTGTATTTGTATTTCATGGAACTGAAACAAGTAGATGCTAAGTAACTGATGTGTCATATAAAATATCATCTAATGCCAAATTAAAAAAAGAGCAGTCTTTAATTTTCTCTATAAATTTTTCTTTACTAAAATACCTTAGTAAATAAACAATGGGAGAAAACACTTTAATTTTTCCTCAAAACAAGATTAAAATGTATTATTGTTTTAGCATAATAAAATTTTTTAAAGATTGTAGGCTAATACTAACTATATAAATTTTTTAAAATGCTGTGGGTAATGATCAAATACTGTCACTTTCTCTTATAGGATTTAATACAGAGCCAGAAACGGAGGATATACATATCAAGTATAGAAGAGAAACTTGTTCTTCTCTCATTATGCACAGTTTACCTTCTCTGTAAAGCCCATATACATTAATACTCCAGAATCCTCTTATAAAAATCAATTTACAACCAAACAAATTTTTCCCCCGGGTGTGATCTTGACAGTCTTCAAAGTTGGTTCTCAAAAAATAAAAAACCCACTTATAACAACCAGAGTGGTTTTAACCAAGTCTTTTGTCAAACATAGGCCCCTTATCCCATACCACTGACATATTTATCTAATGGTGGTTAGTAAGACAAATGTATTAATGGCATGCTATCCAACTTTCTACAATTAACACAAAGCCCCGGAGTGCTGGAGGGTGGGAGGTTTAAGAATGTAAATCAGAAAGCCAGGCAGGTCCCTGAGCACTTCTTTCTGTGGCCTTCCATTCTCCACTCTCTAACCAGTCCAAACATTTACTCCCTTTTTTCAGTCCGTCACCCGGAAGCTGTCTTAGTTTCTTAAAGGGCTTCACGAGAAGGAAATGGCAACCCACTCCAATATTCTTGCCTGGAAAACCCCATGGAGCCTGGCGGATTCCAGTCCACAGCTGAGCAACTAACACTATCTCCTGAGGAGAAAGTGATAAGGGATGAAACTTCCAGCACGGACAACTGTGAACATACATCAATCTCCACTGAATTTTATCTCTTTCCAGCTTATCTCAGCTGTAGTCTTTACTCCATCTAACACTAAAAGCTTTTAATCTGCTTTTAACATCCCTTCTCAAACTCCCAGGAAACCTGCCACAATTACCACTACCCCTCCCCCACCAACATCATCTTCCTCTCTGCTGCCTTTCTGTTCTCAACATATTTTTCTGCTCAAGTCTATAACATCTTAAAAAATTAAAATTAAAACTGGCCTTTGATTTAGCATCCTTCTGGTGACTACCCTCTTCCCTTCTCAGGAAAATTTTTTGAAAAGAGTAGCTGGCTATAGCTGCAGCTCTTGATTCCACAATTCTCTTCAATTCTTATTTCTCAAATAGTGCAATTAGATTTGTAATCCTATCACTCCACTAAAATTCCTTTTGGAGAGGTTTTCTAATATTTTCAGGAATATCAAATCCAATGGTCACCTCTCAGTCTTTGTTTTACTTGACTTCTTTGTAGCAGCTGGCAACATGAATCACTTTCTTTGCTATGCTGAAATAGTGGAGCTCCCTAAAGAACTACCCTGAGCTACTTTCTTTTTTACATCCTCTATGACTTCAACATAGAAATGTTCATCCATAAGCTGAACATTCCCAAATTTATATCTATCTATAAACCATATGTACCTCAAATTCAACATTCAGAAACTGAATTCATAATCTTCCTTCCAAATCTGCTCCTCACATTCTAGTTAACTAACTAATCACTTACTAAAAATCTCGGAGTTATGTAAGACTCCTCTGATTAATCATTTGCACTGACATATTACAGTAGAGGTAAGGTGATGAATCTTTTCTTTTCCTGTTGCCAAATGGGGATAATTATGCCTATGTTTGTTAGGGGAAGCACACTGACTGAAACCGCCCACCCTGGCCAGGCACCATAGTAACCATTTGCATGAGTTAGTTGTTCTACCACAGGTGGTCCTGGTAAGGAACACGGAACTAATAAGCCACCACCAACAGGGAGAGTTCAGGAAAGGTTAAAAAGTGACACCACATGTCCAACTACCTCCCAGAATCCTTCTCGATAACATCCATCTTGGCTGAACAAGGCATGCACCATCAGGAAGGACTCTTGAGTCAAAATGATTGGCTAAAGACAACCCGGAACTAATCCCATCACCATAAAACCCAAGACTGTGAGCCATGTGGCAGAGCCAATTCTTCTGGGTTCCCTTATCCTACTGTTCTCTGCCAGGGTGCCCTTTCCCAATAAAATCTCTTGCTTTGTCAGCATGTGAGTCTCCTCAGACAATTCATTTCTGAGTGTTAGACAAGAGCCCACTTACAGGCCCTGGAAGGGGTCCCCTTCTTGCAACATGGTCCGTCTACTCTACCAAGAAATCAGTGAGACATATGAAATGATGTGTTTGATTGTTCAATTAGGTGAAAGAATTAAAAATTCCTTCTGGGTGGTTGGAAGAAGAGAAAGGTCACATGACATCTGCTCCAAACTCAGAGCAACAAGGTCCTGATAGATGTTTATTTCAATCTGTGAAAATTCCCAAAATCTGGAATCTGAAATTTCCACTGAACTGGGGTTGGCAGTAAATTTCAGAGTTTAAATTCTTCAAGACTTTACTGACTAATGACCACAGAAGGCTTAGCATGAAGCTTTATGAACTATAATGGCTTAATTTCTCTAATGATAAGAGGGTTCATTTTAACAGTATAAGAGCCTATCTGCTATATTCAACATACACTGTAAAGTCTATGGGAAACAGATGATTCTGTTTGTGCTCTAAGTAAATTTGTTATGCAGTTGGAAGACATTAAATTCACACAAACACTATGATACAAAAGCCAGTAAGTACAATTAGTGGCATTACACAAAAATTCCCAATTTAAAATAATAAACTTTCAGAATTTCTTGGGAATAAAGAAAAAGGAAATGAAAAATAAACTCTAGTCATATGTAATCCCAAAGAGAAACTATAGTTTTATAGTCCCAATCTTAATGTCATTGATAAAATACATTTAATATATTATTTCAAAGAAAATGTTGTGAAAAGCAAAATTCTCCCTACTTCACAACACACTTAATTACCTTTACTTGGGACTGATTTTTTCACCGAGGCTACATGATCTTCAGAGATTGCAAGACGCCTCAAAACATCAGCCAAAGCTGCCTTTAGCACTGTGATTTCATCTTCTTGCTGTTGAACTCGTAACTCAAGGGCCGAGAGGCGATCCTGAACATCAGAAGTACTTGCAGCAGAAATGCTATCATCTATAAAAAAAAAAGAAAATATGGAATATTTTTAAAGTAAACTGCTTAAGAAACAATTTAATGATGTATAAGAAACTGTATACCAGGTAAGTCTTATAAAAGATGAGAAAAACTGAAAATCATTTTTACACAGATTAACTTCTGTAAAGATTTTCATAGCTACCTGAACTAATTTAAAACAAAAGAGTTAATATAGCTGATGTATAATTAAAACTATGAAAATTTTCCCATGGTCAAGTTTTTTATTATACCACCACCTTAATAACTTTTTCACCAAAATGTTCCCTAAATATAGCACTTTGTAGACATCTGGAAACCTGCATAACTGAAAACTAGTCAAAGCATCCTTCATACTTATTATATCATTATTATAATTATCTATGAAAATAAGGAGTTCAAATCACTTCAGTTTTGCTTTTTGTATCAAATTGGGAACCTCTCACCTTCAGCATCAATGACCAGAAAGCATTCTTTTCTTCTGTCTTATTATACTCCCAACCTCCTCCCCCAAGCACTGCTACATAATTAGTAACATACTTTTTGCTGCTCTTTCCCTCCAATGCCTCAAACTCTCTTAAAAAAAAAAAAAGGTATAGTTTCTATAAAGCACATAGCTAATATCTCCCTTAGGTATGCAACAACAACAACAACAAAATAATGTTCAGCTGTAATACAGCAACTACAAACCACTTCCAAAGCTGTGTAACAATTCACTATAAGCAGAAAAATTCACGGAAGAAGTGAGGTCCTCACAGCTGACAGGTCTGACCGGAGTGATATACACGCTAAGCCATAGTGTGCCATTTTTCTCATACTGAGATAATGTGCCAGACACCGCACGCAGACAATTTAACTCAAAGTCTGAGTTAAAAACAGCAACGACGGGGGCTTCCCTGGCGGCTCAGTGATAAAGAATCCACCTACCAATGTAGGAGACATTGGTTCAATTCCTGATCCAGGAAGACCCCACATGCCGTGGAGGAACTAAGCCTTTGTGCCGTAACTACTAAGCCTGTGGTCTAGAGCCCATGAGCCACAACTACTGAAGTCTGTGGGCCCTACAGCCTGTGCCCTGCAACCAGAGAAGCCACCACAATGAGCAGCCTGCACACCACAACTAGAGAGTAGCCCTCACTGGCCACAACTAGAGAAAAGCCCCTGCAGCAACAAAGACCCAGCACAGCCATATATTAACTAAAAAAGAGCAACAATAACAAAACCATCAGCATTTAAAAACCACAGTTATCACCATTTATTACAGAGTAGCAAACACACTCATTTAAGATCCTATGTGCCTACAGACATCTCAGGCATACATATGTACTCTCTTCTGTCTTTAGAGGTATTTCAATGACAATCGTTGGGAAGTACTGCAATGAAAGGAAAAGCTGGGTTTTACCTTCAATTTCGACTTTGAATTCTAGTTCCGTAGTTAATAAGTTGTGTAATCTTAGGCAAGTTATTTTATCTCTTTGAGCCTCAGTTCGTCTTTAAATGATTGTTTTGTGGAAGGTATCCAGGACGTGTCTGACATTCGATAAATGTTTAACACACAACAGCAAAGTACAAAAGGTAAAATTTGAGAGCTTTAGGCCCATGTATTACATAAAAGGCAGATCTGTCAAACTTTGAGATGCATAAGAAAAGAAAAATTCAGCTTCTCATTTTAGAAATTTTTATATTTGAAGTCTTTCTCATTTCCAGAGTGGTCTAGCTGAATTCTGGGCTTCCCAGATGGTTCAGTGGTAAAGAATCTGCCTGCTAATGCAGGAGACATGGGTTTGATCTCTGGGTCAGGAGGATTCCCCTGGAGTAGGAAATGGCAATCTACTCCAGCATTCTTGCCTGGAAAATTCCATGGACAGAGAAGTCTGGCGGGGTACAGTCCATGGGGTTGCAAAGAGGCAGACATGACTGAGCACGCACGTTATACACTACCTGTATTCTAACTGATCCATCCTCTGTGTCACACTATGGTTATTATATTAACATTCGTCTCTCCAGAATACTTTCCTATTTTCCTTCTTCTGGTAGCAGAAAAACAGCTCTTTTGTGGAACTCTACTGGTTTTTGAGGTTCCATTAGGGCTGTGGATCTATGATGCCTCATTTTCTCCTATAACACCCTGCACTACTAAGGCGATGTATGTGAAGTGGCTTTTTTAGATGGTTAAAATATGTCTATTGGTAATTTCATAATGTTCAATCGAATACTACCACAGAAATGGTTATGGGTATGGGTCAGGCCAAAAGGAGTCCTCCCAAAAAAGAGAGAAAGCAGAGGGAGGGAGAGGTGTAGCCCATCGTTCTTGGTTTGTCAGCTGTTAAGGACATACAGACCTAGGGCTGTCGATGATAAAGAGTCTTGTCTGTCCTAAGTTCCAGTTCTAGTCTCTGAAGCCTGGACCATCAATTCTGAGAGGTACTCTAATATTTCTTTTAGCTACCTATGTAACCCGACAAACTCTCTTTCAACAAGCCACCATCTATAAGCCAAAAGTCCTGATTAAGTCAGGAAATTATACAGATACACCTTTCTAAACTTTTCTCAAATTACGGAAGATGCGTTATGTATCAAAGTTATAATCATAGGTAAAATATTTATGCATTTTTTTATAAACACATAATCTTCTTAATTCTTTCGGGAGGGCAGCAAAGTCTAGTGGAAAGATTACCAGACTATAATGCCAAAGATATAGTCTTGGGTTTCAGTACCAACATGGTAACTAGCTTTTACTTTTGGTAAATTACTTAACTTTTATAGACTTTGATTAAAAAAAAAAAAAGACTGAAACTTGGACAGTCACATGAATGGTAGTTCAGCTTGTAAAAATCCTACCACGACCTGCTCGATACTGTGATTAAGACACAAGGACAATTTTTCAAAGGACACTACAAGCATAATGTTAACTATTAACAACGTCCTGGATTTATACAGGACCTTTCATATTTATTACCTCCTCTCCCTCCTCGGTCTATCTGTATTTTATACTTGAGGAAACAGCTTGAGAAATAGCTTGCCCAAGGTCACCAAACTAGTCTTGATATATGAGATTCAAACAAAGGACTTGACTCACAGTTTTACGTGCATTTTACTTTCATGTTGCATCTTAATAATCACGGGAGGATCAAATAAATATCTTCTTTCACAAAGCCAAACAGGGTTTAAACTATGACGTGATATAAGCAGATTTATGTTCTAAAAAGGTTATTCTGGCTGCTGTGAGAGAATGGATTGGAACAGGATAAAGGTAAACATAAGGAGACCAAGCATGAGGCCAATGCAGTAACCCGTGTGAAAGGTGAAGGTGGTCTAGGCTAGGGGTAAGGTGTTCATGCATCTCGATTTGTCCAGGACAAACATGTCTGCTATCTCAGCAAAAATATTATCATAACACTTCTTCTTTCTCTCTAAAGTTTCCCAGTTTGAATGACCAATTACAGGGTCACTCAAGACGAGGCAGCAGCAGCAACAGAGATGCAAAGCTATGTAGGAGTTGATCTCTATGGTTCCTTATAGCCCTAAAATCCTGTAACATCCTCCTAATATTTTGGCCTTTTTCACCTTTTCAGGAGCAATAAAAGCTGTGGTTGAACTGTGCATAAATTCCAGTGTTACACTGCCTGAATAAATCTGTTTACGACTTACCAGCTCTGACTGGCTTCTTCATGCAATTTTTTCATGATAATACTTATCTCCAGTTTGAGATTATTTAATGAAATAATGTACAGCACTGCCATACACCAAGGGTTCAATAAGTTACTATTCTGTGTGGGCATGTTCTTACTATGCTGTTTTTATTATTGCTACAAAGCTGGAAATGATCTAAAGTCCCTGGATGGGGTTAATAAGCTATGATAATACATTCACATCATAGAAAGCCATACAATTAAAAATAGTAAAACAGGTGGACTTCTGCAGTGGCGCAGTGGATAAGAATCCGCCTGCCAATGCATGGGACATGGGTTCGATCCCTGGTCCAGGAAGATTCCACATGCCACAGAGCAACTAAGCCCATGTGCCACAACTACTGAGCCGATGCTCTAAACCCAGGAGTCACAACTGCTGAGCCCACATGCTGCAATTATTGAAGCTCATGCACCCAGAGCCTGTGCTCCGCAACAAGGGAAGCCACTGCAATGAGAAGCCCATGCACTGCAATGAAGAGAAGCCCCTACTTGCTGCAACCAGAGAAATCCCACACACAGCAATGAAGACCCAGTGCAGCCAAAACTAAATAAAATTAATTTTATTTAGATATAAATAAAATAAATTTAAAAAAATAAATAACATAAAAATAATAAGACAGGTATATAAACTAGAAATTTGAAAGCCCCACAAGACAACTCAAGTGGAGTACGCAAGTCGGGGAATAACATGTACTGAATAAATTATTGAAACACACACACATGCACCAAAACATACTTCTAAAAAGTAAACAAAAAACTTCATATTTACATATGTATATAATGCACAAGAGGAAAAGTCTAGAAGCATACACATCAAACTAGTAACTGGGTTACTTCCAACTAGGAGAATGAGGTCAGGAGAGGATAAAGGGAAATTTTTGCTTTTTAGTATAAATATTTCTACATTATTTGAATTTCACAATAACAATGTTATTTAAACTTATATTTAAAATAAAATATACTGCTTCCAAAGTTTGATTTCTTAAAGCAAGTTTCCTCTAAGCACAGTATTCCAATTTATAAAGGAACATATTAGAGCATAACACAATGAACTTAAATTTGCACTCACTGATTACAAAAGCTAGAACAGAGACTATCTTAAAGATCAACAGTCCCTCTTGTCATTTTATAGATAAGTAACGGATACGACGGAGTGCACGCGCACACGTGCGCACACACACACACGCTAAGACTATGAAATTAGGAGAGTTACTCGTGGGCATACAGCAAACTGGGGTCAGAGCTCCTTTCTCAGATGACTCCAAAGAACCCATCACTCTCCCTCTTTACATTTTCAAAAGTTTGTTATTTTTTCCTTCAATCTCTCATATACCACATGCACATTCACAGTGAATTTTTAAAGAATACATCTGTTCAGTACATAGAATATACCCATTTCCAGGGGCATATTCCACTCACCTTTCTTAATCCAAGTATGCTAATTCCTTTTCCTTTTACTATGGTAGTCTCCTATTTCTTTGCTCCTTTCGAAGTATTAATAGTTTCTAGCCTTGAGGGTTACGAACTACATATATATATGTAGTTATATGAACTACAAATAAATTCCCAAGGGTTCGTAAGCTCATTAAGGGGAAAGAAAGAAAAGAGAAAGAAGGTTCATAAACCTCTTTTCCATCAGTCTAAGGTACTTATTGGCATTAAGTCTCTTTTATTAGAAATGTGAGGTAAATGTTAATATCCAATATTTCAGTTTTAAAACTACAATGGTAACTGCTTATTATGCTTTTACTACAGTGAATCATAGTTAACCTGTCTTCTGAATTGTCAAGAAATATGTGTTCCTTTGCCAAGACAAATATATGGTACTCTATTCTAAGTATCTAAAAGTTGGCAAGCCAGCGTCATATCAGAACGAGGCATGCCTGTACATTCTAGCATCTTTTGAATGTTAATCATTTTATGTAAATCTTTCTAAAATGGAACACTCAACTTTCCTGTTTTCCTAATAAGGGCATATATTTATAATGTAGCCATTTCTAGATGACTCAGTTTTCACTGAAAATATTAATTACTTTGTGCTGCAAGCACTGTGATAAAATGATGCCCTGGAAGCTATTATGTTTCTAATTAAATAATTAAAGTACTACATTTTCAAACTTGTAATCTTTCTTCATACCTTTTCTGCTTCTTTCTTTGCACTTAGTATTAACAATAATGTATGTATAAGCACATACATTATATACATATGATGCTTACAATTTTAACACAGAGGAAGAAAATGGACACAGCTTCAGGCCTAATGTTTGTATCACTGGAGTCCCACAGGAAAAGGAGAAAAAGATTGTAGATGAAAAAAAAAAACACATGAAGAAATAATGGCGGAACTTCCCAAGTTAAAATAAAATTCACAAATTCATTAGAATTCAATATATTGAAGTACCTCTCCTCACCACACATGAATGTCAAATCCAAGAAGGTTAAAGAATTAAAGGCAAAATCATAAAAACCCTTTGAAAAATAACAGAGAATATCTTCATATCCTGTAAGTAGGAGGTTCCTAAACAAGATAGAGTAAGCACTATCCATAAAAGTATATACTGAAACTACATTAGCTTTCAGAACACATGTTCACTAAAAGACACAATAAAGAGAAAAAGCTATTCACAAATGAGGAAGAGAATTCTAACATTTATAAGTGATAAAGGATTAGGATCCTGAATAGAGAATTCCTACAAATTGATAAGACAAACAATCCTATAGAAAAACTATTCGCAAAACACTTGACTAAACACCTCATGGTAAAGGAAATATAAATAGCCAATGAACTCATGAAATGAGGCTCAAGCACCTCATTCATAATCTTGAAAAGGAAAATTAAAACCATATGAATTACTATTTTATGCTCACCAAACGGGCAAAAAATTTAAAGCGTGACAATACCAAGTATATCAAGTATTCCCTAGGATAAAGAGCAATATGAATTCTCATATATTGCCGGTAGGCAGTAAACTGTTTCAAGACTTTGCGCTAAAAAACAAACAACAGCAGCAAAATACAACTTCGGCCTCATCGGGTAAAACTGAAGATGCACACTCCGTGCCGCAGCATCAGACTCCCGGTTCTGTGAGGGCCAGATGCGGTGAGCGCCCCGGGCCCTCAGGCCGCGTCCCTCTGCAGTAGCCGCTCTGTGACACAGAGCAGCCGTGAAGGCATGAATGACTGGGTGTGGCTATGTTCCAATAAAACGGTTTGTTTTTTTTAACTGAAACAGGTGGCCTGCCAGGCCAATCTCTGCTTGTGCATACGCACACCAATAGAAACGTTCAATAATGTCCACAACAGCAAAGTTCACAACAGAAACAAACTGGAAACAATCATTAGTTGTAAAATGTATAAACAAACTGCGATACAAACACCCAACAGAATACCAGTAAGTGGTAAAAATAAACTATGGCTACATGAAACATCATGTATAAATCTTAGGAATATAACAATGAGTGTAAAAAGCAAGTTGGACTTTATATAAAGTTCAAAAAATACAAAAGTGATATGCTGTTTAGAATAAACCCATAAAGCAAGGGAATGATATATACAAAATTTATGACAATAGTTACTTCTCATAGTGCAGAGCAGGGGATAGTAAGGGACGTGTCCACAGATAATAGAATATCTGTGTCATAAAGACAATTAAAACATATTGGGTTATACTTTTTTGAGGTGGAGGTTAGTTAGTGACTCTTCTGAGAGAGGAAGGGTAATGTGAATGACTAGACTACATAATTACTTTACTCATTTTGTTTTAGAACAATGAAACCAGTTTTTCAAATTAAATCCCCAAACAGATAAAAATGGAGTTTCACTTCCCAAATCCTGAAGTTTTGTGTCATAAAACCAACTAAACCTGTGGTTTTAATGATTGTTTTGAGGCCTAATGGTATGACCTAAGATTAATTGTTACCTATGAATTTTGGGGGAAAAAAAAAGTCTGTCTCAAAAAGGTATATGATATGAGATACAATACCACCCAAAAAACAAATATTAGAAACAAAAATTAAAAACCATTTCTGATCTCCCCTTCCTACAACTCTTAAGTTAAGACACTGGTCAGACCTTAATGAGTAGAATGGTAGTGGTGAAGATCAGAGGAGCTTATACGGGTGAAAAACCATGAGAAATCATATAACACCATGCATCGTTTATAGTTTAAAAAAAAACAGTGAAGGCACTAACCTAAATCACTACCAATGGTGAACTCATTAAATAAACGTCTGTACTATGGTACCTCATGGAGCTCTTAAAAGGATGGGATATATTTAAAACCATAAACTAGAAAGTTTAGTAGGTGTAACAACATACTACAAAAGAGGGAAAAAACTGCAGGCAACATTTATAGTGTAGTTATATCCGTGTAGAACTGTATATCCACAAGCATACATACACATACAGTTGTATAGAAACTGGAGGTATGTGTCTGGCAAGTGGGATTTTAGAACATTCTGCTTCCTTATATTCTTATTTCATATGAATTTTCTGTGTAAAATTCTTCATGAATAAAACATAAAACTATTTTCTCAGTAAAGAAAAGCAAAGTTAATTTAGGCTGCGATGTAAACCTAATTAGTAACACACCCAAATTTTGAATACAAATTTGGTTAATGTGTAATTTTTATACACAGTAAATAAAAACATTTTTGTAAAAGTATGTCTCATGATGTTTAAAAGAAATATTCTCAGGCTAATGAGAGACACAAAATTCAATATAATACATCCAAAGAAAAACTGGATGCCTTTAAATATCAATTCTTCAAAAAACAAAACAAAATCACAGCTGATTTGTCACATTAGTAAATTCTCATCAGAAGGCATTTAGCAAAATAAGTGGTTTTTTGTTTTGTTCTAAAATGGAAATGGTTGTCTTCAAATATTGTCTTTTAAAGACAATATTTAAGTATTATATCAAAAAGTTATGCACTATCAATTCTATAATAGCTACAATTTACTTTGGAAATAAACCATAAGAAAATACACTAATAAAAACAGAGCTCATATGAACATATATTTATGCAGGAATTAATGTTTCCTATTTATCTTAATATTTTACTGCTAAAAGTCAGATTTTTCTCTCAAAGTTTTAATTAAACAAGACACTGTTAAATTTAGATATTCTATTTCTTTAGTAAATGACAACATTAATTACCTCCAGTTCAATTCAGTTCAGTCACTCAGTCATGTCCAGCTAGTAATAATATATGAAAATAAAGAGTATCTAATTTGTCTTCAACTGAGTAACAAATAATACTGACTTATATTTTCTATTTTAAAGAACTCATTTGTTTTTCTTATAAGATATTCTTACTAAAAAATCCCCCTAGTAGTATAAATTATAAGAGGAATTGTGTTAAAATAAAAGAAAATATAAAACCATTTTTGCCACAGCACTCTGAGCATGAAGGCTAGTTCCAGGGGAGGACTTTACGTCCTTCTATCACTAGGATTCATTCACAATCAGATAATTCTGCTTTTGATGTTTTTTTGGTTAGACTTCATAGAAGCAAAAGTCAAGCTTAATTACACAATTCTCATTTCCTATTATTTAAGAGACACGCTTTTTTTTTTAAACTACTTTTCAGTAAAAGCTGTTTTTATTTTTTCCCTCACAAACAATGTAATGACCATCTTTTGTGGGGACAGGGAAAACAAGCTGAACAAAGCCCATTCTGCCCTCACAACAGGAAAATATTTCCTTAAAGGGGGTACAATCTTAAGTCATTTATAAAAGTAGGTAACCAAATATTTATGCTATTACTGACACATATATTTAAAGGAAGCTGGGCGGAGGAGGGAGGAGGGAAGGAAGGGGCCTAAATTCATTCCCACATCCTCAGATTTCTTTTGTCACAAGTAGTAAAGTCTGTGACACATGTCTCCCAGAAAAGGAAAGATACGTTACCAGTGCAGAAGTTTGAAAGTGTAGAGGAAGCACATACTGAAGCGAGACCAGGCAGGCTGTCTTCCATTCTTGCCACCTACGTTACAAGCAATATAAACCAGTTCTGTCCATGTTTCCTGCTGCCTTCCCAGATAGTTCCAGAGCAAATCCCAGCTCTCTAAATCTCACGACATACTTTACATTCTGAGGAAATCCTCCCGGTCCAGATGGCCTACCACAAAGCACTTCTATGTTGGCACGAATAAAAACTTCTTAAGATAGTTCTTCTCTTGCCCCCTTGCTCTCTTATCTGAAGAAAAGTCTTCTACTTATTTATAAAGAGACAAAGAAACTGAAGGAGAGCAAACAGCACGCAGGCAAAAGGAGGGTAAAAAGACAGAAAACGGAGGCTGCTTTCGGGAGTGGCTAAATTCCAGGCGCACGCAGAAACACATGAATTAATGCACCACATGAATATTCACTGCAGTTATTTGGTTGTCCTCAGGCACCACTTCTCTGATCATCTTTCAAGTGGTTAAGAGTAATGTACAACTGCTTCAAATACAGAACCCAGTTTCTGCCTTCTGAAACATAAAACATATTAGTTTCTATAATTAACAGAATTAAAGCCCTTCAAATGAGTACTTTTCTTTACTAGGAAATAAACAATGTGTGTGCAAAGTGGCAAGCCACATTTCCTTTTGCCTTTGTTTAAAATAAAATGAAATCCACATGAACTGTAAAGAAACTGAAAGAATGGTCACTTCATTAATTTAAAAAGCTTAAGTGTTAAAGACTAAGTTGGCTGATTTATTACAACCATTTCACTAGAGTAAGATAATGAATATGAGTAACAATGAGAACAGTCATTTTTCTTAATTCACTAATTTTCCAAATTATTTTAAAAATAATACAATTGCATGAGTATGTAACCTATAATAATTTACATCTGGTCAAACATTCCAATTTTAAACTACATATGCTTACAATACTACAAGTATCTTTAGTCTCTCTTACAAAACTATGTAAAAGCAGGTGAAAGTTAATGAATACAATATGTATTTATTCTTTTGATAACTACTTTTAAAGCTAGTTAAAGAACAAATTCATGGAGTTAAGCGTCAAAACAAAACTACTGATGGATTATCTCTTCAATTTGTTGCTTTTAAACTTTTATTTATAATTTAGAAAAGCAAATTTAAACCAACCCAAAGCAAAACAAATAACAGGACTACTATCAACACACACAAAATACTGTGAAACAGATAAAACCTAAACTAAATTGAGATAAGGATAAACTAAAAGCAAAGCTGATAAAGGATGAATGAAGCAAAATGATCTAGATTATATTTACAAAAGGCTTTACAGAAGAAAGCAGGAACCACCAAGAGTGTTTCCTCAAGTGAGACTTGGGAAAACACTTCTCTACAGAGTAACACCTGGTATAGATTCATCAAAATACAGGAGCTCCTTGGAAGATTCACAGGAATCAAGTGGGCTGAGAGGTGTGCAATGTGTTTGAAATAAAGGACATTTAGGTGAGACCATGTAGAGTGAATAAAAGCAGAAAGAGGGGAAATAGAATGATACAAAGGAAATGTAATGCCAGGCACAGACTAGGACAGAGTTCAAATTCTTGCTACTGACTGGTGAGAAGCTCTGACGCAGATTGTACTTTATTATGTCTCTCTTCAGTCAACAGACAAATGTAAGACTGCAGTTTTATAATTTAGGTCTTAATTACTCTTCTGCAAAGAGTCGGACATGACTGAGCGACTGAACTGAACTGAACTGATAACAAACGTAGCCCTATTAAATGACGGCTCACAGACTCCTAAGATTATAGAACTGTCAAGAAGTTCTGCAACCTAGTGCTCTGTAAACCAATACATAACAAAAAGGCTCCTCATACACGATAGTACCTGAGGTTCTTCTCACCACCTCCCATTTGCAGACTGCCACTAATCTGTAGATTATATACCTTGGGCATTTCTTTCTTCTCAAATCAAAATCTGATTTCAGACCAGAAAGTATTTGGTTCCTAAAGAGTTTAGTTTCTTTGCTTAAGCACTTCTTCCCTCTTTACTACTACAGTCAATCTTTCTAAAAGGCCTATTATTCATACATTCAAGTATCTGAGTACTATGAGGTACAGAAATTATTCAAGATGCTGAGGTGGGGAATCCCTTTGGTCCAGTAGTTAGGACTCCGAGTTTTCATTGTCAAATGCCCTGTGTCTTGAGTAGCATCTCTTAAAGTCTGTCCTTTAATTTCTAGAAGGTAAAATTTTGCTAGTAAAATGCTTTTAATTTGGGCTTCCCACGTGGCTCAGTGGCAAATAATTCACCTATAATGTAAGAGATGAGGGTTTGATCCCTGTGTTGGGAAGATAACCCACAGAAGGAAAGTGAAACCCACTCCAGTTCTGCCTGGGAAATCCCATGGACAGAGAAGCTTGGCGGGCTACAGTCCACAGGTTTGCAGAAGAGTCAGACCCAACTGAGCAACTAAACAACAACAACAAAGATACAATTTACATAGCTGTGCAAGTCGGTAGTACTCATTTGTGTCTTAATTTAGGTAGCATTATTTCTTTAAACACAGAACAAATTTTTAGATTTCTATAAAATGCTTATTCATTCTACATTTTACTGAGTGACTAATTTGTCAGGTACCATATTAAATCCCAGGAACACAAACTAAAATTCAGCTCTTTCTGCTTTGAAAAGTAAAGACTTCTAAAGGCAAAAATTAAAAACAGATACTATAATAAGAACTCAAACTAAGAAAAAAATTATGAAAAAGATAGGAGTTGGCAAACTTCTCTTTGTAGGGAAGAAGGGAAAATGGATAAACCTCACTGAATACGGACATACAATTAAAATCATAAGCTTTTATTTCATAGCTATTAAATTTTTAAAAAGCTGTAAACTCTGGCAACACCCAATACTGGCATCAGAACTTTTATACCCTTTTGAGGGAAAATGTACATTAATAAACTACTTGGGAGAATAAGCTAGCAAGGTTTACTAAATTTGAAGTACACTTACTCTACAAGCCAGCAATCCCACACTCAAAAATAGGTCAAAGTGTAGAACAGACATTTCTCCAAAGAAGATATATAAATTGCTAATCAGTACATGAAAGAATGTGGAGAAATTAAAACCTTGTACATTGTAAATGGAAATAAAAAAATCACGTAACTGCTGTGCAAAACATCCTGGTGATTCCTCAGAAAAGTTAAACAGATCCAGCAATTCCACTTCTAAGGATATGTACCCAAAAGAATTGAAAGCAGGGACTCAAACAGATACATCAGTACTAACATTCACATCAGATTATTCACAATAGCCAAAAGGTGAAACCACCAAAATGACTAGCCACAGATGAATGGATAAACAAAATGTGGTATATACATATAATGGAATATTATTCAACCTTAAAAAGGAATAAAACTGTGACACAAGCTACAGCATGGCTTGTAATTATTATGCTAAGTAAAATAAGTCAGACACAAAAGGACAAATAGCATATGACTGCATTTAAATGAGGTATACAGAGTAGGCAAATTCAGAGAGACAGAAAGCAGAACAGAGGTTACCATGGCTGGGAAAAGAGGGGTATATGGCGTTAGTATTTAATGAGTACAAAGTTCTGTCTAGAATGACAAAAATGTTCTGAAAATGGACAGTGGTAACGGTTATTCGAACTATAAATTATATACCCAAAAATGGTTAAAATAGTTAATTTTATGTTATGCATATTTTATCATACAAAAACAATCACACCACATTAAAAAAAATCATAATGTGACATCACTTCACATCTATTAGGATGGCTATAGTCAAAATGACAATTACTGTTGGTGAGGGTATGGAGAAACTGAACCTTCATACATTGAGCTGCTGGGAAGGAAAATGGTGCAGCCACTTTGGAAAAGAGTCTGGTAGTTCCTCAAAAAGTTAAACACAGAATTACCACATGACCCAGCAATTCCCTCCTGGGTATAGAGAAATGAAAAGGTATCTCCACACAAAAACTCGCACATGAATGTTCCTAGCAGCATTACTCATAAGAGCCAAAAAGTAAACATAACCCAAATACCCACTGAATTACAAAGATATTCATTCAACATGGTATAACCATGCAATGGAATATTATTCAGCCATAAAAAGAAATGAAGTACTGATATATGCTAAAACACAGATGAATCCTGAAAACATGCTAAGTTAAAAGAAGTCAGTCACATGTTGTATGATTCTATTTATACAAAATGTTCAGAAGACGCAAAGTGGACTAGTGGTTGCCTATAGACTATAGAAGATGGGGGAAATGGGGAGTGACTGCTGAAAAACAGAATCTTTTCTTAGGGTGATGAAAATGGTCTAGAATTCACTGTAGTGAAGGTTATACAACCTTGGGAATGAATATACTAAAAACCACTGCATTGTATACTTTAAATGTATGGTATATGAATTACAGAGCAAAAAAGCTATCACCAAAACAACAACAAACCATTCGGTAAGTAACAAAAACTTTCATTTCATAATTTAAATTGTAAATTCCCTTTGAAAGTTTGTAGTTTCCATTTTCTGCAAATGACTGACTAGAGCCTCCTGGGGCATTACTGAGAATGTGAAAAGCACATAGGAATCAACTAAATAAGAGTACAATGAGGGGGGAAAAAAGAGAAAGAAGCTGGAATTGTAAGAAAAACTACAACTTTTTCATAATGTAGGTTACAGCTGGCGTTGCTTAAAAGACTATTATGTCTGTTTACTAAGCTATCCAAAGATTAAGAAAAACATAATGGCATTTGTAAACAAACATGTTACTCATTGTATCTAGATGTGTTCAGTGAGGATGTTTTTCATATACTGAGAGAGATCTGGGCTAAGTAGGTCAAAATCTCTCACACAGTACTCTTGTAATAGGGACAGACTTCTTGTAAGCAAGTAGAGGAAAGATGACTGGCTGGCGTAAAATTTGCAATTTGTGACTGCTGACACTTAAGACCTTAAAAAACAGAAAAATGAAATGTCGAGATGATGAAACTTCAGCTCTTTAAAGCACATCTTTACAAGTACA